ACCCAAATCACAATTTAAAAAAAAGGAAAGAAAGAAAAAATAGAAAGAAACTATAAAAGATCTACATAAATGGAAGAATATATCCTGCTTGTGGATAGGAAGATTGAACACTGTGAAAATGTCAATACTACCCAAAGCAATTTATACGTTCAATGCAATCCCAATCCAGATCCCATCAGCATTCTTCAAGGATATGGAAAAAACAATCATTGATTTTATATGGAAAGGAAAGAGACCTCGGATAAGCAAAGCCCTATTGAAGAACAACAACAAAGGAGGAGGTCTCACCCTCCCGGATCTCAAAACCTACTATACAGTCACAGTAGTCAAAACAGGCTGGTATTGGTACAGTGACAAACACATAGACCAGTGGAACAGAATTGAGAAGCCAGACATAGATCCATCAACCTATGGTCAGCTGATTTTTGACAAAGGTCTGAAATCCATTAAATGGGCAAGAGGTAGTCTCTTTAACAAATGGTGCTGGCAAAACTGGATATCCATTTACAGAAAAATGAAACAAGATCTGTACCTCACACCATACACAAAAACAAACTCCAGATGAACAAAAACGTAAATGTGAAACCTAAAATTACAGAGTTCCTCAAGGAAAAAATGGGGCAAACTTAGGGGCCCTAATTTATGACATAAATAGGCTTTCAGGCATAACCCAAAATGCACAAACAGCTGAATGCATAAACTAGATGAATGGGACCTTCTCAAAATTAAATTTTTATATGCTTCAAAAGACTTCTCCAAAAGAGTCAAAAGCGAACCTACAGATTGGGAAAAAATATTTGGCAATGACATATCTGACAAGGGACTTATCTCTAAAATTTATAGAAAACTCCAACACCTCAACAACAAAAAGATTAAAAATCCAATTAAAAAATGGGCAGAAGACATGATTAGACACTTCACCAAAGAGGCTATTCAGGCGGCCAGCAAATACATGAAGAAATGCTCACAATCATTAGCCATCAGAGAGATGCAAATCAAAACAACAAAGAGATACCATCTAACCTCAGCACTAATGGCAAACTTCAACAAGACAGAGAATAACAAATGCTGGTGGGGATGTGGAGAGATTGGAACTCTCATACACTGCTGGTGGAACTGTAAGACGGTACAACTGTAGAAAGCAGTATGGCGATTCCTTAAGAAGCTGGAATTAGAAATACCATCTGACCAGCAATCCCATTAAACTCTCACTGCTGTCAGCTCAGTGTATATCCTAAAGAAGAAAGAGCCAGGGTAAGAACAGATATATGCACACCCATATTCATCGCAGCACTATTTACAATACCAAAAAGATGGAAACAATCTAGGTGCCTATCAACAGAAGAATGGAAAATCAAACTATGGTATGGTACATACACACAATAGAATACTACACAACACTAAAGAATAATGTAGAATCTGCAAAACACCACATAACATGAATGAACTTGGAAGACATCATGCTGAGTGAAGTAAGTCAATCACAGAAGGACAAATACAGTATTAGTTCATTATGGTAAAGGTTTATATGCAGAAGGAAACTTTATTTGTTGGTTATTACCAGCAGTGGGAAGGGAGGGAAAGGGAACATTGCAAAAAAAAAAAAAAAAAAATGCATTGACCCATGTCACCTTAGTTTTGTGTATTTCACTGTACATAAATTATATTTCAATAAAATGTATATTAAAAAAAGCATTGAGTACAAACCTTGTTTTTAATGTTTAATAATTTTTTAGACTTGAGGTATCACATTATAATTTATATGTAAGCAAATTTTAACACATAAGAAAGAATCCTGTTGGTTTCATTATCTCTAAATCTCTTATCCACATCACCATCTTTCCAGCTGTAAACAAGTCAAGAATATTTTGTCAAGTATAAGTGGAAGATGTAGCTACCAGTTAAGCTACCATTACAGATAAATGAGCTTATTTTCTGAATCTAAAATCAGACACAAGCCCTGAAACAATTTGAGAATGTATTATACAAAAAAATCTATAAGATATAAAATTAAATTAAATTGCATTATAAATTTAATATACTGCCTTTACTTAAAAAAAAAAAACTAATCAACACTTTTCCCAGAAAATTAGGCATATGGTTCCCATATATGTCTTGAGAAAAGAACAGGGAGTGCACTCATTGATTATTGAGCAAATTGTTCCCAATTTTCATTCCTTGGATGTTTTAATCATGACAGTATCTCACTGAATGTCCTACAGTAAGATCAGAACATTATATTTAATCTCTAGAACACAAATACCAATACCAGTCACCTATCAACATCACACAAAGGCACACTTCACAGGTTTGTAAATAAACTTTAAAATAATCCCATAATGAAAGCACAACAAAAAACAAGTAACAAAATATAAAAAAAAAAAATTAAGTACACTGTACAAAATACAAAAATGCAATTTATTTACCTTATTTTCCATACAGTTAGCTATAAAGACAATAATTTTTGCCTTGGAGTTTAAGGCAGTTTCATTTTTTGCCACAGTTAATTTCTCTTATATGCTAGAATCAGCATCTTCTCGGTGTCATCTGTATTTAATTGATCGTTTCTATTTTGTACATTTCTCCATTTGAGAACCATAATTTCTTCATGATCGTTGAAACTTCATAACATAAAATGTCACTGTCTTCATATATTTGAGTAATACCGATCACGATTTTGAAAGTCTCTGTGAGCATATCTGGCATCAGTTTTACTATGAGGGATCCTTCCAAAAGGTTCATGGTCATTGAAACAAGAATCAAAAACGTCATCGACAGCCTTCTGAGCTGATTCTTTGGTGATATTCCTAACAGCCAGGATAGAAAGAACAGCTCGGTCTCGCACACAAGTCTAAGAAGAAGAAAAAGTATATGTGACTTTAATTTTATACAAAAATTTAGTTATAAAATAAAAACATTTGATATAACATCTGAACCATAATTAAAATAAACTTCCCCTCATATTATTTTATTAATTTGTCATTACAAATGAGGGAAAAAAATGAACAAAGAAACATAACTTTTATTTTATAGAACAAGTTCAGCTCAATTGAAAATTGTTTAGGTAGAAGAAAGACCTCCATTTGCTCATCTTTTTCAGTAGCATAAGCAGATGTCATTCTTGAAATTCTAGACAGTATTTGACAAAAGTAACTCCCAATTTGCAAAATCACAAAAAAATCAATATGTTCCTGACGAAATTTTTCATAAAACTTAATTAAACTTAGGGTATACTTACTTCTGCATCTCTTTCCCTTAGATTTTCAATTGGCCAATACTAGGTAACTTTTTTTTTTGTCACTTTTGCAGCATTTCCTCCACTCTCCTCTACCCCACACACCCCTGGTAACCAACAAAGAAAATTTCCTTCCATATATAAACCTTTCCTTGACTTTTTACAATAATGAACTAAAACAGCATTTGTCCTGTGATTGACTTATTTCGCACAGAACGACGTCCTCTGATACTAGCTAACTTCTCTTTTGTGGAGGGGACTCTGCTTCCTGGAGGCAATAGGAAACTACACACCCAAACTTGCAAAGTATCTTCATTTTTTAGGAAAAAAAAAATCTAATAAAATTATTTTTCTCCTGAGTGTTCTTTGTAGAGAAATTAAAGTTTTGTTCCTAAGAAAACAGATGATCTAATAGCAATTGCCAAGAAGAAAGGAAATTTCTCCCATCCAGGAAAAAAAGGGGGCAAAAATGTGTCTCCTAGAGACATAAAGTGGACCAAAATTCAGATCTACTTCTTTCTAAATGTAAAAAAAAATTCTATTACAATAAAAGTGTGAATGTAGAAATTTATAATCAGGTACTGTACTTGCTGCTTAATTTTCTTGAGTATATTCTGGAAAAAAAAAAGGGGGGGGGCTCCATTATCTAAGACTCTTCTCCCCCTACCAGACTCCCACCTCCCCATTTATTTTCTATCCACTTGTAGTTCTACTCAGGTTCTGTTGCTGCTGCTGCTGCTGCTACCCAAAGTAGAAAGAGGATAGACTTCTCTTTCAGCCTATGAACCCTGGATCACATACTTTAACCACCTTCTCCTCTCTAGGAGTATATGGATATGTACCCTACATCCACCTTCTCCACTGAGAGCCAAAACACACACCCCATTCAAATCAGCCTAAGCTGAATTTACCAGAGAAAACAGGGATTCAAGGGCACAGGAAACATGGAGCACAAGACAAGTTCAGTGGCAAATCACTAAACTGACTTGGCACAAGCTGGAAGTATTACCAATCCTACTGGAATAATCACCCTTTTTGGAAACAGGCCTATCTTCCAGCTCGCAATCACTAGGTACACACACTATCTCTTACTACTTCACTGTGACTTTCTACCTCCATCCCAGAGTTGAGTTATTCCCTTTTCTGGAGAACTAAGGGCATTCTTCGTATTGTCCCATGCCTATCCTTTTTGTATCTAGTTGAAACTGCTATCCTGATGTCCACATACCTAATGAATTGGCCCAGCAAGCTCTTCCCATAGAAAAATTTCTGACTAGCCTTTCCCCTGAGTGTAGACAGAGCCCCTTGGTTGCTGTGGGAAGAACCACTCATATTCATTATCAATCTATCAGTTCTACACTTCCTTTCCCACATGTCTATCTATCATGGATCCTACAGGCTTTTCAGCAGGATCATCTTGCCTATATTTTTTGTTTTTTGTGTTTATTTTGTTTTGTTTACAAAATTCCTTTCAGTTCATCATAATCAAGCCTGTGACAATCTAAAGTCTTTTCTATTATGTCACACAGCACTGATATAGAGCCATAACCTGTGCTACAATGCAATCTTAATCTCTTCTGAAAGGTATTACTCTTCTAGTCCCTCTAGTATCCTGTGGTAGTTCAGAAATGTAAGTCCAGGGCTGTTAGAGAGAAGTAAGACAGGCTGTGATTTCACCTCCATTCCTTATCCACTCCCATTCAGAAGTATCCCAGGCATGAAATTGTAGCTCTTTTTACTATTAAAATCTGTCAGTTACAGAGCTTGCCCCATAATTATAAAGTAAAATTAAACTGCACCTATTTGGTTTAAGAGATTTTTTAATTCATTTCATATAGGCAGTTCTTTCAAATTTCAAATACTGAATCTTCTTCACATTCTTCATTACTTCCATTCATCGCACTCTTGAGGGTAGGTGATTTCAAAGGTTAGTTTTTACCTGATGGTGTTGTTTTAATCCAAAATGTAACCTGAGTATTTCATTTATAAGTGAGCAATCTCCACTGAGGTTAGCAGCTCGAATCTATCACAAAGACATAAGGCAAACAAAAAGAAAATAAATGTTCATGCTATATCTTTATAATACCCACTGCCATCAAGTTGATTCCGACTCATGGCGACCGCCATTGAATTTCCAAGGCTTTACTAAAGTAGATTGGCTCATCTTCCTCCTTCAGAGCATCTGGTGGGGTTTGAACCACTGACCTACTAGTTAGCAACCAAATTCCTCAACCACAACACCACCAGAGCTCCTATTTATAATATAATAATATAAAAGAATATAAAATTGGTATTTTTCTAAGAAGAGAGAATATGTAAGATTTTCTTAAGAATTTTTAGAAGTCTGTTGACTCAGGAAGTCCTTAAATTAACCAAAAGGAACATATATTCATGAGGTACACAAAACAATGGCAAACACACCAGATGATGGAGGAAGGTTTGATTTCCACCAAAGAGAATTTACTAAAGTTTAAATTTTAGTCTTACTGGCAGAACTAATTGCTTTGGAAACCAAAATTCAGAGTTAGAACTTAAATTTCATGTTCTTCAAAACACAAACATAGATAGAAATTATCAAAAAGACTTCAAGAAAACATTCTGCCAAAGATCTACAAAGCTTCAATGTGAGGTTAAAAACAGAACACATGAACCTCCCAGCCCAATCCCAGATCTTTGAAAACTCTCTTGGACCTTCCCTCAAACCTGCACAAGTTCAAGACCTTCCTCAGGGGCTTGAATGTCCTAAGAAAAATTAAGTGGTACAAAGCAGTTCTCTATCCAATACAAAGAATCGAGAACATTTCAAATGGTCCTGAAGCCAGGAGATATTTTCTAATAAGCTACATTTTTAAGAAAAAAAGCAACTTTAATAAATAAAAAAGTATTGAAACTAGTCATATAGATTCTACATTTTTGCTAGCTCACTGCAAACAGAATGGCCCACTTTTTCTTACTTCTGCAGGAACATGGCCTCACTCAGAGGAACCCAAGGCACTTAACACACTTTCACTAGCTAACAGGCATTCATTTTCATAATACCCAAGAGAGAAACTTATTTGAAAATTCAGGTTCAGTCTACTCTCCAAATATTATGAATTATAATTAGATGCAATGAGCCACTCATTAATTTCAAGGTAAAGAGAAAATAATCTAAGTTATAAAGTATAAGCTTGGCATTCATATATTGTGTGTGTATGTGTGTGTGCATGCATGCATGTATGTGTGTGATTTCTCTTCACATTGTACCCCTCAATTAATGAAATCCAAGTATGAAATATATGTCTCTAGGAGCATATGTGTGTGTGTACTTCTGAGAGCAATTCAAAGCACTAAATAATGTCTCTTTTTATGCTGTAGTTTTGAGACCCATTAAAGATGATTAAACTAAATGTTTTATTCCAGGACAAGCAAGGAGCTTTACCTATGGAAGGCAGCACAGAAAACCAATTAAGAGCCCTAGTTGTAATCCTGCCTGGCTTGAGTACAAGTCCTGCTTCTGCCAATTAGTTGCTAACTATAGGATTTCAAGCACTGAACAACTGCCTCACTTTTCAAATATGTAAAACGGGAATGGTAATATTAGTTCTCCCAATCAATTGTTGTGAAAGTTAAATAAGAATCCATACTAATAGTGAAACAGTGTTTGGCACAGCCCTCAATGTATGTTAACTATTTTTATTATATTTATATTATATGCCCATTGCCATTGAGTCAACTCGACTCATAGGACCAACAGGACACACAGTAAAACTGGCCCATACAGTTTCCAAGGCTGTAATCTTTATGGAAACAGAATACCACATCTTTCTCCCATGAAGCCACTGGTTGGGTTCAAACCATCAACCTTTTGGTTAGCAGCCAAGCATGTAACTACTGCACAACCAGAGCTCCTTATATTTATTCAATAAGAAAAAATAATAGCTTCTTATTACAATTACAGTCATCACTACTATTGTTGTTGTTGTGGTTAGGTACCGACGAGTAGTCTCTGACTCATAGCAACCCTCTGCACAGCAGAATGAAACAGCCTGGTCTTGCGCCAGCCTTACAATCCTAGCTATACCTGAGTCCATCATTGCAGCCACTGTGTCTATCCATCTCGTTGAGGGCCTTCCCCTTCCTCATTGACCCCCCACTATTAGGACTTAAAAATTATTTAAGATAATCCTAAAGAGACAGTTAAAATTTCTCTAGCTGTATTTCAGAAATTATACTCAATAATGGTTAAAAACAAAAATTCAAGACTAAGGTAGAACTATGACAGTAAAAAAAAGCTGAAAGAATAAATAAGTTATATTTGGGATAAAATATTTAAACACAAAATCACCTGATAAAACCTGAAAGAAAAAGAAAAAAAAAAAAAGTCTTCTGTAATAAAACTTACCTCTGAGCAGGCCAAATGTCTGACGTTGGTGAACCAGTCAACATGAGCACGACAGTGATCAAAAGCATGAATAAGCTCATGGGTGATCACTCTGTTCATATGGGCCTGGTTACGGATGTTATTTTGGCACAAAACAATCTAGAAGACACCAAAATAAGAGAAGGTAGGTTACTCCTAAAATCTACTCTCATTTCATAGAGTCCATCTTCTCTCCCACACTAAAGGGGGGAGGGGATGACTCACCTGCTTAGAATGCCCTTGCCCACTCTTCTCCACCTAACCCACAGCGACCCATCCAGCAAGATGTAGTCCTAACTGTAGATGCTCCACTGAGCCTTCCTCAGCCACTAACTTCTTCCTTCTCCACTCTCTGGACTACAACAGCACTTAGACTAAGAAAACTAATTAATATGCAATCCTCATTAGGCTGACCATACCAATCTGTCCTGGACTCCACAGCATTATGATTAAGAGATGGAATTTGGAGTAAAGTAGACAGGTTCAAATCCCACCCCTTAGTAACTGGTTGACTTTGTGCAAGTTTCTTTAATCTCTGTGTTTTTTCAACTATGAAAAGGAGATAATTAGAGTACCTACCTCATAGAATTGAATGAAAATATATGTAAAATGCTTCTGATCAAGTCTCTGAATAAGAAATGAATGAACAATGAATGCCCACCAGTGTCCTCATTCTAATAGAATTGCCAGGAAAAATCCTCAGAAAGACCTTCAGAAAGAAGTGCAAAAAGCCAAAGGCACACTGAGCAAGACCCTATAAGAATAATAAAGACATGAGGGATCCTAATAATAATAGCTACCATTTATTGTGTATTTACTATGTGCCAGACACTGGGATGAGTGCCAGATATTTTATATACATTCACTCAACATTCATTCATTCAACTAATATGTGTTGAGACCTTATCCTAACCCTTGAGGAATTTATAACCTACTGATGAAGACAGAAAATAACCAAATATTTACCAAAACCTTTAAATATATGCAATGACACTTATCATGAAGAAAAGCCCAAGTTGTCCTGAGCATATGTAATGAGAATGACTGAACTGGTCCAGAGGGCTGGGAAAGGCATCTCTGCAGATAGAAAGAGAACTGGGATCTAATGGACGAGTGGCAATTAAATTTAAGGAGCATAATAATGGGGCACTCCAGGGGGAGTTCCGGCAAGATGGTGGACTAGGCAGAAAGACTGCACAGACCCTCTTCAACAAAGCAAAGGGAAACTAATTAACACAGACAGAAAAGATAATCCTGTACCCCTGAGCCTTGAAGGGAAGGATATAGAAGTGGACTAAACCCCAACTAGCAGAAGAATTTGCGTGAAAATACCAAAAAAGGAGACAGA